AAAGATTTTGGTTACGGAAAATTTATGGCCTGAAAAAAGTGCCGCGGCGGTCGCCGCGGCTGCCGCGGCAGTTCCGACGCCCTTGTTTCCAGGCACTTATAAATGGAAGCTTTTATAAGCTCCTGTCATTACTTATAGCAGGAATGTCATAATATATAATCAAGAGTAGATAATAACACATGTGTTATTATCTACTCTTGATATAATGTATAATGAATAAATATGTCATAATCTATATTATGACTCCTGCTCCTGCTTCTACTGACTTTTAAGCATTATAATGTTCCTCTTAAACAAGCGAGAGGTGGGCAACGTGACGATCATAACTCGTAGTCGTAAACTTCATACCTACGTATTTCACATTCAATCCTAGTACGCACAGCAGCTATGCGCACGCGTCTACGCCCTTCTATTTATTCTAACGTAATTTTTCGTTGTCGAATGACCGAGCATCGACTCGAGAGAGCACTAAAGACGAACAAGAGCGTACGAACCATTTTATCGCGGCAACAAGTTTGTGTGCTCTTGATAAGAGCAAGGGTGAATAATGACAAATTTATGTTTTTTTGCCATAATTCACGCCTGAAAATAATACACGCAAAACAAACCTACGCGGTGCTGCCCGTGTAGTACTAGTAGTAGTATGTAGGCGAATATCTGTGTTAGGAAGGCTGTCTGTCGTCTGTGTGGTGGCCACGTTAAGACCATTTAGCCGGCGAACATCGGTCAACGATGTATCGGTATCGTAAAACGTAGTATATCGCTACCTATGCAGTCACATACAAAAACCCACAGCCCTCAAAACAATTCCTGCGGTACAATACTTATTTCGGCCCAATCCTCGTTTAACACCTCGGATTAGTTTAGCATATATGCGAACTATATATATATACAGGGGTCTCAAACTAGAATTGAACACTTACTTGTCACTTCCCACAATTTCGGACATCTTCCCCAGCAACTAGACTCACAAATCACCTTGCGAAAAACCAATATGCGTCCTAGTACATTGCGCAGTACTACACATACCAGTAACTCAAAACACCTCAGTGTATACGTAGTCTGTACATTAGTTTAGCACCACGGTAGACACAAATAGACACACAGAGCGAACAATAGAGAAGTACATTCCTGCCAGGAAAATACCCGATAGTCCATGCAGTATATAGACGTGCAGCATATATATATATATATCTGATCGCAGTGACGAACAGCCAGCGATGAGTATGTCGTGAATCAAGGCAGCAGCAGCACCTGTACAGGTGAGTACAGATGAGGAATACAGGTGAGCACAGGTGAGTATACAGATGAGGAGTACAGCTGCTTCATGATCACGAGTCTAGACGCTGCGCGTCTCACATCCCTCGCCATCGGCGGCCATGCCACATGTGCGAAGCGCAAACTGATATTTTACATTCCACGTATACCTCATTGCTAACATGTTTCCTACTGAAAAGAATAATAATAGCGTGAGGTTCCTCTACAGGTGAAACGTGAATTATTCATGAATATCATACAATGC